AAACGTTGAAAAAAAAAATTAAAAAAAAAAAAAAAAGAAAATGTCAGCTCAGGGGCGCCTGGGTGGCTCAGTGGGTTAAGCGTCCACTCTCAATCTCGGCTCAGGTCATGATATCACGGTTTGTGAGTCTGAGCCCCACCTATGGCTCAGTGTTAACAGTGAGGAGCCTTCTTGGGATTCTCTCCCTCTCTCCCTCTGTCTCTGCCCCTCCCCCACTCATGCTCCCTCTCAATAAATAAATAAATAAATAAATAAATAAATAACTATTAAAAAAAGAAAATAAGTCACTTCAGTTAAACACTTGTGTCTCGTTTCAGGAAGTGGGCTTCGAGGGGGTTCCCCAAATTAGGCCCATATTGTGCAAGCAGTCAGGTAATTAATAAGAGGCATCTGTACGGAAACAAAAGAAAAACAAAGGTTAATGGTTGGAGCGTGTTATAAACCCAGTGTCTGCGTCCTGAGTGTGGCCAGTGAGAAGATTTTCTAGATGTCAGGCTCAAAGCATCTTCAGAGGGAGTGAGAGCAGGCAGTGGCGATCTGACAGATTTTCCTGGTTTGCAATCCGAGTACCTCTGGTGATCTTCCTGAGAGGCCCGTATAAAGCAACAGGCACGAAGACCGTCTGAACATGGGCTGTCGTGGCAGTTCCTCTGAAGTTTATCTCAAGTTGTCTAGCTTCAGTTTGCACAGCTTCGGGAAAAAAATGGCAGTTTTAGTTCTCAGCCATTCCAAGTCAAAAGAATGAAAGAACATTGGAAACCTTGGTTTGGAGAGTCACAGCCAGATATTTGAGGAAACCAGAATTCAGGATACAGCCCAGTTTTGTAGGGAAACAACACACTGTCAGACAATCAGAACTAGAATCTAACATCCACACGTGTGTGTTATGGGAATACAATTTTTTTCTCTTTTTAAAAAGAAAACCACAGGCCCCAAATGGTGTTGCTTAGGCCGAGTTCCCAAACTGGGGCTTACTACCTAATTTAATTGCAGTTTCAACCTCTCCCAGAAATGTAACCTTAGCTGGTCAGTCAGGAATTTTCCAGATCAGCCCACTGAGTCTGTCCTATGGGGCCTCTCTATCCCCCAAAGGAAGATGAATAATCTACATGATAAGACCCCTCTTCTTCTCCCCCACTAAGGGAAAGTGACCTTTGGGGAACAATCCTTTTCATTTACTAATAACTTTCTGGCCCCACCCTCCTTCCTATAGACACTTTCCATTTTGTACAGTTTCTCAAAGCTTTCCTCTACTTGCTAGATGGGATACTGCCTGACTCAGGAAGCATTTAATAAAGTCCATTAAACCTTCAGATTATTTCAGTTGGATTTTATTTTTTAACACTCTCTAAAATCACCCTCATTTCCACCAAAGATAGCCAAAGGAATACTAATTTGTAAAATAAGTCCAATTTCAACACGTTGGCCTGATTATTTTCAAAAGTGTAGCAAGAATAGTGATTGATTATATAGGTTCATTTATTTTATTTAAAAAAAAATTTTTTTTAACGTTTATTTATTTTTGAGACACAGAGAGACACAGCATGAATGGGGGAGGGATAGAGAGAGAGGGAGACACAGAGTCGGAAGCAAGCTCCAGGTTCTGAGCCATCAGCCCAGAGCCCCACGCGGGGCTCGAACTCGCGGACCACGAGATCGTGACCTGAGCCGAAGTCGGACGCTTAACCGACTGAGCCACCCAGGCGCCCCTATATAGGTTCATTTAAATCTGCTTTGCTGGAACTGTTCGTAAGACATTTTAGATTGAACTTTCAACAGCCTCTCCAAGCTAAGGAACCACGCCAAATACTTGCCATCAGACTTCTGTGTAATTAATCGCTAAGGATTTGGGTGAATTCCTCCCTTTTTGAAGTCCCCCCAAATAGCCTGAGGTTCCTGTGCCTGCCAGGA